AATTGGCTTAAATATTTATTTACTAGCTAACTAAATAATAACACAGAATACATACATACTTAATACATGAGAAAAGTCCCTAGCGGACTAACAACAGCATGACTGCTTGGTTATCAAAAAGGGAGGGGTCAGTAGAAGGAGGGAGAGAGGGACTAAGAGAGTCAAACTTATCATACATACATTTGGAAACTACACTCACAGTAATCAGAATACTTAGCACCCTAACCACCGCCCGTTTGGGTAAGAAATTCAATGTATTTACGTGTAGAATGTCTTCTCCGTCGTCTCTCTGTTGAAACCAATCACTCCTATGGGGAAGGTGTTGATGGGTGTAAGACTCTGGTTTGTCCACCAGAGGTCCCAATGTCCTTTGTAAAGCTTCTCTGGTAGTGAACAGATACTTCAAATGTACCAACGGTTGTCTGAGATGAGATTGTCCTTGCCACCTCGGGTCTTTAGTGAAAGTTCTAGACTACTTTAGATGTCAGCTGCAGACTGGTAATGCTACTGTCTAGTGAGTTTCTTCTTATTGTGTAGAGATTGAGAGTTTCAGAGTTTCTCACCATTTCAAACGTGTGGACTAACATCTCACGTTTCCTGGTCTTAAAGTGTCAACCATTTGTAACGTTCAGTTCCCGCTGCACATCGGCTGGTCTGTAGAGGTTCAACCATTTGTAACGTGAGCTCGCGCTTCACATCGGCTGGTCTTTCTCATTCAAAGTTCTAACCATTCTAAACATGCAGTCACCACTCTCACGTTTTCTGGTCTTTCTGATCTAACCATTTAAAACCGTTTAGCCACAGCTCCACACTTCCTGGTCTAATGTTAATTTGTCTTTCAAGCCTTTATGCCCTCTTGGTAAAAGGGGCGTTCCTACTTGCTGACACGATCTCTGATGGCACTTGGGGCGTGGCTAGTTACTGTGTAAAGGATATGATTAGAAGTTATCTTTTGACTGCTAAAATCACATTCCTCTCTTAACAAAAATAGTTTGATCCATTTTCATATCACATAGACAACGTATTGGATGGAAACTTTACAGATAAAGGGGGTATCCTTCCTACGTTACAGTATTTGGTTCATACAGTTTTTAATAACATCACGAAATAATAAACAATATGACATGATTATTCTTTAGATCCCCACTGACCATTCCAAACATTTCGTGGTCAGGAATAATGTTCCAACATCCACTTTTATTGACGTAAACGTTTTTAGGTGGCAAAGAGTCTCTGGAACAAATAAAATCTCAGTCTTCCCATACTAGAGACCAAAAGGAGTCCTTTTCTGCAAACTATTTATGACCAGCTGTTAAGTCATAAAACCGGCCCAACTCCCCCTTCTCCTCTCCTATGGGAGAGAGGGGGGGTCTGGCTATCTGTCAGCCATTTGCCAAGCTTATCTGGCACCTTCGATCCTCACCAAGGAGTGAGTCATGACAACATAGACTACAGACGCTAACAACCACTCAGACATACAATCCTAACAAATACCCATGCATGCTTGTGAACACATATGCACATAAAAAACTCTCATGAGCAACATTATAAGAGTGTTTTGGAGTCAAGCAGGGCATGATCAGTCTCACTGTCACAGAGCCATCAACACGGAGGGAGCCTTACAGTCCAGAAATAAACCAGCACCCTGGGAGACACCCTCTCGTCTAGCTCTCCGCTGTCTCTCTGCAGCTGATTCATCCTCTCTACCTACCTCTCCAACAGGGCCGAATAATGTGTTAGACACTGACAGGCCAACAAACACAAACCAACCACACTGCACCAGCTGAGGCAGGACCCCCTCCTCTCCCTCTTTCTCTCTTTCAAACACACACACAAGCACATTTGAATAGATGGAGCGTAAATAAGCACATTGGAAACGGATGAGAACTGTTCTCCAACCAATAGTGCTGCTGCAAGGCACAGAGCTGAGAGAGATATAGAGATATTCTGCACAGATTCTGTCAGACAAGGGCCCTGACAGTAAATCTCAGTAAGACAAAAATAATGGTGTTCCAAAAAAGGTCCAGTTGCCAGGACCACAAATACAAATTCCATCTAGACACCGTTGCCCTAGAGCAAACAAAAAACTATACATACCTCGGCCTAAACATCAGCGTGTCATGACTCTCCTGGCTGAGGATCCAAAGGCCTCAGAGCAGCTTGGCAAACAGCTGATAACAACCAGACCCCATCTCACCCACATAAAAGGGAGCTGTGCCGGTTTTGACACCTTAACACTCTGCCATAAATTAGAGAGGAAGGGGATCTCTACCTTGCTCTCCAGTTTTGGTAAAGGAATGTCTTTGTTCCAGAAGACTTTTGCCGCCAAAACTATAAACGTCCAAAAAGTAAACACTGGAACAATATTCCTAACATCCAAATGTTTGGAATGGTCAGTGGGGACACAAAGAATAATCATGTCATATTCTTTATTAGTTTGTGATGTCATTAAGGATGGTATAATGGAATAACTGTAACTCTGAAAGTGTACACGTTCTTATTTATCAAGTTTACATCTAAATGTTGTATAAAATATATGATTAAGTATGAGAGTACTTTTGTGAAGATAGCAATGTGATTTTATTATTCTAATGAGATAATTGTTCGATATAAACTTTTGCCCAGTCAGTAACCACGCCCAAGTGAGCACAGACATTGGGTTGGCGTGATGGCACGCCCCCTTTTTACCCGAGGATAAAAGCCTTAGTAACTAAATGTACATTTAGACCAGAAAGCGTGGAGCTGTGGCTACACGGCTTAAAATGGTTAGACCAGAAAGACCAGCCGACGTGCAGCGGGAGCTGAACGTTACAAATGGTTGACACTCTAAGACCAGGAAACGTGAGACGTTAGTCCACACGTTTGAAATGGTGAGAAACTCTGAAATGCTCAATCTCTACACAAGAAGAAGAAACTCACTAGACCGTAGCATTACCAGTCTGCAGCTGGCATGTAAAGTAGTCTAGAACTTTCACGAAAGACACGAGTTGGGAAGGACAATCCCATCTCAGACAACTGTTGGTACATCTGAAGTATCTATTCTAACGAACACTCCACTCGAAGACAAGCCGAGTCTCACTGAAGTGGGAAAGGACACTTAAACCCTTTTTGAGAAAGTGGTTCAACAGAGAGACGACGATCAAGGACAGCTACGCGTAAATATGCATTGCATTTCTTATCCGAATGAGCGGTGGTTTCCAAATGTAACAACGACAAGTTGAATCTCTTTGTCTCTCCCTTTCACTCTCTTTCTTTTGACCCCTCCTTCCCCTAACCAAGCAGTCATGCTGTTAGTCCACTAGGGACCTGTTTTCAATGTATTACGTTAGTAATCAATAACTTATACCGTGTGTGTGTTTATGTATTCTGTGTTATTATTTAGTTAGCTAGAAAATAAATAATTAAGCCAATTTGTGTATTGCTGACTCATAAGTAAGGTTAGGGTTCTTGCAGGTTCAAGGATTATGCGACGTTATAGAACCCATTGCCCTTCATGATTGTGAGGTCTGGGGTCCGCTCACCAACCAAGAATTCACAAAATTGGACAAACACCAAATTGAGACTCTGCATGCAGAATTCTGCAAAAATATCCTCAGTGTACAACATAAAACACCAAATAATGCACGCAGAGCAGAATTAGGCCGATACCCGGTAATTATCAAAATCCAGAAAAGAGCCGTTAAATTCTACAACCACCTAAAAAGAAGCGATTCCCAAACCTTCCATAACAAAGCCATCACCTACAGAAAGATTAACCTGGAGAAGAGTCCCCTAAGCAAGCTGGTCCTTGGGCTCTGTTCACAAACACAAACAGACCCCACAGAGCCCCAGGACAGCAACACAATTAGACCCAACCAAATCATGAGAAAACAAAAAGATAATTACTTGACACATTGGAAAGAATTAACAAAAAAACACAGCAAACTAGAATGCTATTTGGCCCTAAACAGAGAGTACACAGAATACCTGACCACTGTGACTGACCCAAACTTAAGGAAAGCTTTGACTATGTACAGACTCAGTGAGCATAGCCTTCCTATTGAGAAAGGCCGCCGTAGGCAGACCTGGCTCTCAAGAGAAGACAGGCTATGTGCACACTGCCCACAAAATGAGGTGGAAACTGAGCTGCACTTCCTAACCTCCTGCCAAATGTATGACCATTTTAGAGACACATATTTCCCTCAGATTACACAGATCCACAAAGAATTCGAAAACAAACACAATTTTGATAAACTCCCATATCTATTGGGTGAAATACCACAGTGTGCCATCACAGCAGCAATATTTGTGACCTGTTGCCACAAGAAAAGGGCAACCAGTGAAGTACAAACACCATTGTAAATACAACCCATATTTATGTTTATTTATTTTCCCTTTTGTACTTTTACATTTGAGATGTCTTTATTATTTTGGAACTTTTGTGAGTGTAATGTTTACTGTTAATTTGTATTGTTTATTTCACTTTTGTATATTATCTACTTGACTTGCTTTGGCAATGTTAACATATGTTTCCCATGCCAATAAAGGCCTTGAGAGAGAGAGAGAGAGAGAGAGAGAGAGAGAGAGAGAGAGAGAGAGAGAGAGAGAGAGAGAGAGAGAGAGAGAGAGAGAGAGAGAGAGAGAGAGGAGAGGAGAGAGAGAGAGAGAGAGAGAGAGAGAGAGAGAGAGAGATGAGAGCCTGGCTGGCAGACAGAGGAAGATAATAGATAAACCAACACTGCACACTTGTTTGAAGTAATGAGCCCATCCGCTCCACTATGCCCTCACATATTATACACATCACATGGACTGGGAGAGATATGAGCAGAGAGAACAGCAGAGTCTAGAGACTGGCTCTCACTGCACTTACATTTCAAAACAGTTTTCACAAATGTACATTACATGAGCTCTATTTGTTTGCTCTGCATTACTTCTCTTTTTTGTGTGTGCACCACAACCATGTGGTGTGCATGTGCATCAGTGTGCGTGTCTCTCTGTGTACGTGTCAACCCTTTACTGACCAGTACGTATCCAAAGGGGCTGAGTCTCTCCATGCAGGCGTCGCTCCATTGGTCTGTGAAGAGAACGTCTTTCAGCCTTTTGTTGATCATTGAGTTGACTTCCTGTAGCCTGAGAGTGCAGCAGTAACACACAGTCATTTTAAGGAGACCACAGGGAGAAAGAGAGAGATAAAAGAGAGGGGAGGAGAGAGAGAGTAAGTGAGAAAGGACTGTAACAAGGAAATGGACGGAGAATAAAACATATGTAGGGGGACACACATATAAAGAGAGCTAAATAGATGGATCAATGTTGTTTAACAGTAAACCCAACCACTCAACCCAGGGGACTGTCTATGGAAGGAGGATGGATATAATGGATAAGAGAGGTCTTCTGGAATACTTGGCGATGAGGACATGGTTGGCTGACTGCCACCAGGGAAAAGCTCACCCAATTATATACATGTCTGTGTTTCCATCCCCAATGTGCAACCCCAGCAGAGCAGTGATGTCATCTGGCGGCATGGCACCGCCCACATTCCATGTGATTAGGTGCACCCTATCAGAGAGAAGGAACACAGAATCTCACAATCACATACAGTATACAATTAATAGAAGCTTGGTTCTCTGAGTATCCACTCTCTCCATTAGCTTAATTAGCATAATAAATGAGAGAGGTTAGCAGAGAGCTCTGACAAAGCCTCGGGGACACTGGGTCTGTGCTGTGAGTATAGAAAATAACACAGAGTGGGAGGTGGGAATATCTCGAACTGCTGACTGTTACAGCTTCTCAATTTGGGAATTTCAGTGGCATAGACACATTGTCTTGAGTTGAGCTTGAGTCAAGAGAGGAAAAGACCTTTAGAAGTAGTAGTCACTAAACCAGGACCTCAATCTCCTCTGGATGTACTCTGGTATTTGTGGTTAATCAGTTTCCTGCCACTGTGATAAAGGGAAATGACTAAAAGTTTAGTTGGTCACATGCCACTGCAAACTGTACTATGGTGCTTGGGGCTATATATTGACAAATTACTGTGTCACCACCACAGCATTGAAGGTCTGAAGCATGCTCTTAAAAAGTGATTTCGGTTCATGTTCAAAACAACTATTATGCTGTAGTGAAAGCTGGATCTGATAGAAAACACATAGAGCCTGGAGCTCACCTGAAGTCTTCCACCACCTGGGACTGTGTGTCCGCGGTGCCCGCCACGGAGAAGGCCCTCTGGGCATGAGGGTTGAGATGGGGAGGTATAGACCTGGAGGACGGTGGCTGGGGCACTGAGGCTGCCCTCATTGAGATGGGGCTCCTGGCCCCTGGGGGGTGGCCTGGGACTTTAGGGCCAGCCTTCAGAGTGGTTTCAGTGGCCCCCCCATGCCCCCCAAGGGGCTTGGCTGCTCCAGGCCGCAGGGGCTTAGAATGGCTGGCCCCAGCTGGAGCATCATGAGTGGATCGGTCCTGGTTGGCCTCTGGAGGGTCAGGTTTGGGATCACAGACGTCCACAGAGCCCTCTATTCTAGGGGTCCTCTGAGGCCGTTGAGGCCGCGCTGGGACTGACAGTTGAGGAGCAGGAGCAGAGGCAGAAGGGTCGGAGGCTGGGGCTTCTGTGCCTGGAGGTGCTGCTGGAGTGGGGGTTAAAACCTCTGCTAGTCCAGGTGGGTTCTCAGGCTGTGGCTGGCTTTGGTTCTGGTTGTCTGGATTCATCTCCCACAAACTCACTGAAAAACAATAGCAGAGGAATGTCATGATCACCATATTCCATCTGAGTGTGCCACGCAGTATAGACAGACCAGATGTTAAACTAGCAATGGAAGACAGAAGTTCCAAATGTCTGGTGAGGGTGGGGAGGGTTATTATGTACTCTCATTGACTCAGCCGTTCATGTGATTGAGCAGTTCACATTCCCCCCATTCCTAGGGTGCTCTGGCAGCATAATGCCAGCCCTGAGTGTCTGGCTGTTTGAACTCTCATGGGCGACTGAGAGCGTCGGAAACAGGGAATTAAGTCGTTCAGGAGGAGAAAGAGAGAGAGAAAAGGAGAGCCCTCCTACACTTCACACCTCTCACAGCTCTTGGACCAACTCCAGAAATAGAATGAGGAGAACAAGCCGGGGTGCCGCTTATCTCAGCAGCTCTCTTTGTACAGGAGCCACCTCGCCTGCCATTCCTCCGGTTACCACGGAGACGCAGAGTAAGTTCATATCAGCTCAGAACACCTGCTAGACACAAGCCACGGAAACCGCTGTAGGGTCTGCAGCAACACAACCTGATAGAATGTTAATGACAACAGAGAGAGAGGGAGAGGGAGAGAGAGAGAGAGACAGAGAGAGAGAGGGGGAGAGAGAGAGAAAGAGAGAGAGAGAGAGAGAGTGAGGGAGGGAGAGAGAGAACCCTAGAGGGCACGTGTAGTAGAGGTCTTCACGGGTCCAACAGACCCAAAATTCTGAGATCCGGATCCTAAATTTTTTGTCTCGAATCTGGATCGGGTCTGATATAAATTGCCACCGGTCTCGGGTATATGCAATCAAAATTGATTTACTGACTAGACCCGATTGGACCCGTCCTCTGTTAATTTAATGTGTGAGGTGATGAGAACTATGCGAGCTTGTTATCTGTGTCAGCCAACTGCAACTCAATAAAACGTATAGCTTATTTACATTTACGTCATTTAGCAGACGCTCTTATCCAGAGCGACTTACAAATTATGTCCACCTGAAACTGGTTCCGGCCACTCACCTCACGTGAGCCTGCTGCTGAGGAGGTAGAGCGAGAGTGAGTGAAAGGAGGCTTGGCCTAGGCTAATGTTGATTGCGAAGATGGAGGCCTTTTCATTGAAGTAAAACAAAAGTTAGTGAAAAAAGTGTATAGTGAAAAGAAGCCGACAAGGGGAATGTCCTCAGTGGGTGGACAAAGATGAGAAGAACGTTGGCACGGCCAAATGGGACTGTGTGCAACTCGCTATTCAGGTTTGATACAATTTTAGAACTTTTATTTATTTTCGTATTTATTTGTTTTATCATTATTATTATTATTATTATTATTATGTATCATTATTATTACTGTAGACCTATTTAAGAATCTAAACCAGTTCTTTAAATATGCTAAAAGTGTTTTGTTTCATTTTGTTGAGACATTTTCATTGGCTAAATTAAGTTCAAACAGTCTTTTTAATTTTGTGCTCCGTATTTAGTTTAAGATAGGTTAAAAGTAAGCCTGTTGTAAAATAAATATAATTAGCCTATTGCTGTCATTTGTTCGGTAGGCCTACGGTAGGAACTCACCTTTGTTGGCAATTGCTGCAATATAAGCCTGTTCAAAACTTTAGTGAAGGTTTAAACCAGTTCAGTTTAAATATGTGTTTTGTTTTATTCTGTTGAGCCATTTTCTTTGGCCAAATTAAGTTCCAACTATAATGTTGTGTTTGTGTCACGATCGTCGTAATAAGTGGACCAAGGCGCAGCGTGATATGCGTACATCTTTTAATTGAGTACTATTAACAGTAATGATACAACAACAAAACAACAAAACGAAACGTGAAGTCCTCGGTCATAAAACACAAACCTACACGGAACAAGATCCCACCAATGACAAGTGCACAACAGGCTGCCTAAGTATGGTTCCCAATCAGAGAGAACAAGACACAGCTGCCTCCGATTGGGACCCACCCCGGCCAACACAGAAACACACGATCTAGAAAAGAACACATAGAAAACAAAACATAGACACTACACATATAAACTAACACCCTGGCTCAACATATAAGAGTCCCCAGAGCCAGGGCGTGACAGTACCCCCCCCCCTAAGGCGCGGACTGCGACCGCGCCAACTAAACCCAACAGGGGAGGGGCCGGGTGGGCATTCCGCCTCGGAGGCGGATCCGGCTCCGGGCGTGACCACCACCCTCTAACTACCCCCCCGTAGCGCCCCTGGTCTGGTCCCGCTGGCTGGAGCTGGACATCGGTGGAGCGGATTGCTTAGGCTCCGGTGTGGAGCAGCTGACCGGTACCTGACAAGGCACCGGTGAAACAGGCACGGGCTGTGCCGGACTGACGACGCGCACCACAGGCTTGGTGCGGGGAGCAGGGACGGGCCGGACCGGACTGGCGACACGCACCACTGGCTTGGTGCGGGGAGCAGGAACGGGCCGGACCGGGCTGACGACGCGCACCACTGGCTTGTGCGGGGAGCAGGAACGGGCCGGACCGGGCTGACGACGCGCACCACTGTCTTGGTGCGGGGAGCAGGAACAGGCCGGACCGGGCTGACGACGCGCACCACTGTCTTGGTGCGGGGAGCAGGAACAGGCCGGGCCGGGCTGGCGACGCGCACCACAGGCTTGGTGCGGGGGGCAGGAACAGGCCGGGCCGGGCTGGCGACGCACACCACAGGCTTGGTGCGGGGGGCAGGAACAGGCCGGGCTGGGCTGGCGACGCACACCACAGGCTTGGTGCGGGGAGCAGGAACAGGCCGGGCCGGGCTGGCGATGCGCACCACAGGCTTGGTGCGAGGGGCAGGAACAGGCCGGGCCGGGCTGGCGACGCGCACCACAGGCTTGGTGCGAGGGGAGGGAACAGGCCGGGCCGGGCTGGCGACGCGCACCACAGGCTTGGTGCGAGGGGCAGGAACAGGCCGGGCCGGGCTGGCGACGCGCACCACAGGCTTGGTGCGGGGAGCAGGAACAGGCCGGGCCGGGTTGGCGACGCGCACCACAGGCTTGGTGCGGGGAACAGGAACAGGCCGGACCGGGCTGTGGAGACGGACTGGAGGTCTGGAGCGAAGAGCTGACACAACCCGTCCTGGCTGAATGCCTATTTTTACACACTCTGTGTGAGGCATCAGCACAGGACGTACAGGGCTGTGTACTCGTACTGGCACTACAGCACGTGGCACTGGCGCAGGATATCCGGGACCGAGGAGGGGTACTGGAGGCCACGAGCGTTGAGCCGGCACACTCCGTCCTGGCTGCATGCCCACCTTAGCACGACACGTGCGTGGTGCTAGCACAGGACGTACAGGACTGTGCCGGACCACTCGCGGCACAGTACGCAGCTCCGCATACCTCGGAACCTGCCCAGTCTCACACTGCCTAGCCTGAGTACGGGGAGTTGGCTCTGCTCTACCTCTAGGCTCCGCCAACCTCCCTTCCAGCCCCCCAAACCCGGTGGCCTCCTCTCCTAATCCACAAACTCGCCCTGTAGCTGCCTCCAGCAGCCCCGTCGTCCATGCCGTGTGCCCCCCCCCCAAAAAAATGTCTTGGGGTTGCCTCTTGCATGTCCGACATCGGCACGGTTGGCGCCGCTGCTCCTCTCAATGGCGCGCGCCTCCACCGTCTCCTCCCACGGACGGCGATCCATTCCGGCCTGGATTTCCTCCCAAGTCCAGGATCCCTGCCCGTCCAAGATCTCCTCCCAAGTCCAGGCTGTCTGCTCCTGGACACGCTGCTTGGTCCTGTTATGGTGGGATCTTCTGTCACGATCGTCGTAATAAGTGGACCAAGGCGCAGCGTGATATGCGTACATCTTTTAATTGAGTACTATTAACAATAACGATACAACAACAAAACAACAAAACGAAACGTGAAGTCCTCGGTCATAAAACACAAACCTACACGGAACAAGATCCCACCAATGACAAGTGCACAACAGGCTGCCTAAGTATGGTTCCCAATCAGAGACAACAAGACACAGCTGCCTCCGATTGGGAACCACCCCAGCCAACACAGAAACACACGATCTAGAAAAGAACACATAGAAAACAAAACATAGACACTACACATATAAACTAACACCCTGGCTCAACATATAAGAGTCCCCAGAGCCAGGGCGTGACAGTTTGCCACAATATAATAGAATTACCGGCAGGCCTATGTAGGGCTACTCGCACTCAAACCATGAAAAGGAAAAACCAAAAAGGGCGAGATGCAAAATGTAATTTAATGTCGCCATATAATAATATAATGACTTCACTGACTTTTGATATTACACTAATAAAGTTAATAAACTTTTGTGAAGGTTTGTTGTGGTATGGCTATTATTAGGCTTAGCTACTGCAGGCCTATGAAGGCAGTACGCACCAGCGTTCCAACTCTCTCTGACAATTGAACTTGAGGTCAGGAAGAATGTTTCAGGCCTACCAGAGTTACTCCTTTAATCTAACAATATAATGCTTATCTTTATTTAAAATATTTGGATCGAAAATTAACGAATTAGCCTCCTTCTGTACGCCTATCTGTATAATAGTAGCCAATCTGAAAAGAATAAAGAATGCATGTTGGTGTCAGGAACATGGCGCCGGCATATCTCTATCTTTCTCTCGGTCTCTAGGGCTAGGCCTAAACTTCTCTTCCATTATATTTATTTAAAAAATATTAATATACTGTAGAGTGGACGCCTAGGCCTATATGCATGCAATGCCCTGATGCATTTAGCGCTCAAATCTCTGACAGCTGAACCGTGGGGTGGACAATTATTGTTTTAGGAAAGTAAAAATCAATAAAACAACAGGCTATAAAGTTTTGAATATGCTACATATCAAAACACAACTAATAGTTTTTTGTTATTTGTTATAGGCAGTTTTTAAGGACACGTAAGTAACTGTGGATAATTTGGCCAATATCACTTGTTTATTGATGGCGCTGGCAGCGCCCAGTCAGAGGTTTCTTTCTATCTTTCTATCTGAACGGGTCCTCGGGTCCATTGTCCTCAGGTCCATTCGGAATGGGCGTCCGTTTAAACAAATATATATTATGCATGCCTG